TGCTGTGTTTTATACAGGAAGTAAAGTATGCTGTAGAAGTGAAGAATAGAATGTAGTGGGCAGAATGTGCAATTAAATCGTTTCAGACCCCTGATGACACAGCTCCGTTCCAGTTTAATACTATTAACTGCTGCGTAATGGGGACAGGATGTACTTTATAAACCAAACAAGACAAACCATAAAGTGTTAAACAACAGTGCATTTAATAAACACACCCAAACTAAACATGTCATTCAGAAACTGCTGGCCACATCCATTTTGACGAATCAGACATAATAAAGCTCAAATACACAAACTGTGATAAAACACACACTCACACATATGCACATAACAGCTACACCCTGACATTCATGCTTATTTCATTTTCCCACTAAACACACCCTAGGTCTGATGTATGCATGACATGCGTGCTTGTTTTTCTTTGCAGCTGCTCCCTTCTGCAGCTGCTTTCAGCACACCAGTTAATCACCACCAGATGTGATGGAGAGAAACAGACACAGAGAGAGAGAGAGAGAGAGAGAGAGAGAGAGGTTGAGGAGCATATCTGTGTGACAGATTGGATATAGAGAAAATGGAGAGAAATATAAAGACAGGAGAATGACAAAGGGGGGAAGGAAGTGAAGTGGGATGGTAAAAACGTGTGCGCAATATTGAGTTATGCATGTCGACATGTAGCCTGCTTGAACAGACCACACAAAAAGCAACAATTATTTTACTCATGTAGTCATGAGTCATTCAATAACTAAGGCATTAAAAAAAACAGTCCTTGATATTGAAAATAAAAAAAGACTTGCACTTTTGTGTATAATATTTTTAGTTATGCATGAACAAATACAAGTATTAGAGTATTTTGACATGTTTTCCTCCCTCTGTTGTTCACTCTCTTTGTCCCTAGATGCCCATATGTTCAGCTTTCCCACAGAAAAATATTCCCATATGATTGATTCTCTCTGGAAAACACATGTTCATTATTAAAAACATATATTTATAGTAGTATAAGTATTTATAAAGACTGATCTGTGAATGCATTTCACAGCACTTTCATGTACAAAAATGGAATGACATTTTGTATTTTATATTGGTATATATGAGCTTCATAATGTGCAGTGTGCCAGCTAGAGATCCGAAAAGGATATGATGTAGTTGGTTGGCTGTGTCTTGTTGTGCATGTGTGAGCCTGTCTCGTTTTTCAGAGAGTACAGAGAAGAAAAGGACATGTTCCAGTTCTGGGGGAGCTTCACCTTTACACGTTGAGGTTGAAATTTGAGCCCTCCTGATTCCCGCACGTAAGTAGGAAGGCCTTGTAACCAAACACTGTTGCACCATCAGATGTTTTTAAATGTACTTCATACTGGTAAGAGGCTTGCATCCTGTGATCAGAAGAGTCATGTCAGAAAAGATCTCTCAGTTTCCTAACTCTTGCTTGACCCTTGAAAAAGAGGAAAATCCTCCCTAAAAGAATAAAAAATGGATATGTCACATTTAATACCTCAAAACTCCAGTGGGGATTGTGTGTCAGTATATCATCTATCCGGTGTTTCTGAACACACTTCCTCTGGAACTGCAAATAATCCTGACAGCAGATGATCTGTTGATATTCTGTTAAATCTTAAATAGAGCACTTTATTGTCGAATGTACATGTAAATGTTGTAGAAATGCTTTTGTCTCGCTCACAGCATATGGGCGTTTCTTCAAATTAAAAAAATAGCTAATTAAAACTAGCATATTAACTAACATGTAACCTTTTCTTTTTGTTATATGAAGGTCATATTAAAACGTTTTTGGAAACTTAATATTTGCTACTTTTAAAATGCCTTTTAGTTGTTTATTTTATTAATGTACTCTTGCCCGACCTAGACCCTGATTTTTTTAAATATATAATTTAAATCCAAAATGTTCTTTTTTGTTATTATAAATATCAACTGGGTAACACATATTATTCATTGATAGTTCATGTTAACTAATGTAGTTTATATTGTTAACAAATGGAACTTTATTGCAAAGTGTTACCAGTAAAAGAATATAAAAAATAACATAAATCTAAGGTGGATGTTATTTCAACAACAACAAACAAAAATGCAAAAAAGGTCTGCACTCTAAAAATGTTTTATTATTGACAGGAGATAAAGTTGACAAACGTTTCGGCTCTTTGCCTTCGTCAGTGTCAACAACAAACAATTGAAAAAAAAAAATCAAAAGTTGGTTGTTTGCAAACATCTGTAACATTACATTTTTAAACTTATTGACGGTGAACCTGTGAATCATTACTGTTTTTAGGACTGTCTGTCTGAAGTCAGTCTGTCTACTGAACCTTTTATACAATTAAGACTATGACTCAAAACAAAAAGTATATTATGATGAAATAACCTTGACCGCAGTGCCATATGACAGTGTTTCTAAGGCGGGTGTGTACGGAAGTGTGTGACTGCGTAAGTTTATGAATGACATGAACTTTGACTCTATACTGTCATTAAGTATGAAAAAAACAGACTTCCTTCTCTACGGTCAGAGCAGCTGCACACACACACACACACACGCGCGCGCGCGCACACACACACACACACACACACACACACACACACACACACACACACACACACACACACACACACACACACACACACACCCACCTGCCTCCAGGATGCAGTAAATCTTTTTAGTGGAACACCAAATCCACATTTCTGGTTAATACAAACTGAGATTTTCATTTAAATTAGTATTCCACTGAAGCTTGAAGCACATGCTGTCAAGCCGTCTCCAAATCTCTGAAATAAAGAGCCTCTTGTTCACCATCATACCAGCATGCCACAGAGAGGGTACGACTGAGCTGTGTTCAATGTTGTTTACCATAAAAACATGATTTCTGCTGCTAGGATAGTAAGAACCTGTTTCAGCATAATTTGAAGTACAGTTGTGTATGAAATATTATCTCTTTTTATTAATGGAATGTCAATGAGTTCAGGTATAGCAGTTGCTCAACATGAATCTGAATGAGTGTGTGCATGTGTGTGTCATGTCAGGTTTCTGACCTGCACATGTAGCTGTAATCGCTGTGATTCATTAGAGGTATGTGCTCATATTCCACACACATTCACTCTGCCAGTAGGCCTAATAACTGAGAAAAGGTGGAGCGATGAGGGAGAGAGGGGGATGGGGTTTGAAAGAAAAAGGAGGTGATTGTAGGGGAGAGAGAGAGTGAGAGAGTTGCTGTAGCAAGCGATTAAGAGCAAAGGAAAGAGGATACCAGAAATTCTAAGATTGTAAGAGTACTTTTTGGCTCCCTTATTAAATAGGTAAGAAAGTAATGTTCATATCTTTGTTTGAACTCTTTTTTTTTCAATATGTTAACCTTGTGACTTCAGTTTTGATACAAAAGTAACTGAGAGACAGCAATCAACATACAGGCTCAATACAAAAGCCTTTTACTTATCAAAATACCTTGAAGCTCTGAATTCCTTTATCACATGGCTGTCTGGTGTTTTTCTCTCTAAAACTCATCAGAGTTGTTTTTATATGAGCTCTGTCTGGTTTAGTTAGGTTTACCCATGCAAAAGAATGTTAATCGATATCTTAACCAAGGGCAGATGACACTACATGGTACACACACTCACGCACGTGTGTGCAACAGTTTGCTAACTGGTTTGTTTTGCAATAGAGAGGGATCTGGACGGCTGAATTGTTTGTATTCACTCTGCTAAATGTAAACCGTTTTCTTGAGAAAATCTGCACTCGAGATGTAAAATGTCACATGAGAAATATGAAGCAGGTTCTGAAGTACCATTGGTTGTTTACTTCGTATTCATTCCTCAGTCAGTTTAGTAGTGAATCTTCTTTCTTACTATACTTCAAGTTTCTGGGGGGGGGGTTGTTCAATTCAGGAATTGAGTTGTTACCTTTCTGCTTGATTCCTAAATGTACTTGATGTAGCCTAATCTATAGTCAAAAGATCAGTCTTGGAAATAATCGGAATTACAAGTCAAAAGTAATCGTTCCCGGTGCATTTCAGTAATTATGCTTTCGACTGCCAGGTTTGATGCATGATCTGAAAAAATGTATAGCTTAAATGCATTTTAAGTTACTTTTGATTAAAGTGTCTGCCAAGCGCATAAATGTCAATATGATGGGAATTTAGCAATTGACTAATCATTTTGAAATACAACTGAATGACAACACAGAAGTGTTTCTTTATTTAATCTTTAACCATCTTTAATAGGCTATCTTTAAAAGTTTTAAAATTAAGTAATATTTTATTCAACAACAAAACTTCTAACATTAAATCTGACACAATCTGATATTTTACTCTAAACTCTTAAGTCAAGACTGATTAATGCAATCAGTTAAAGAAGATTGAAACATTCACCCAAGGAATGAGTCATGAATCCTTTGAGTTGACCACTGATCTGGAGCTATATTTTGTTCAGTAACAAACTTTTATTACATTCTGATGCAATCTGAAAATATATTACTGAACATTCAAGAACTGTAGTTCTTAAGGTCACACTTTAGGTCAATAATTGTTCATGAAATCAGTTAAAGATAATAGGCTTTATGCTGAGCGTCACGTGACCAAACCGGAAAACGGGTCTCATTGCATCCGCTTGTTAGAGAAAGTGTTAACGGCCGTAAGAACTAACTACGATATCTATGGATTTTTAAGGTAATCAGCTAACCTACTAAGTTCACTTTGTTATTGGTGTTTTATGCTATTTAAATATCTAAACGTTAGTGTGAAGAAGAAAAATGAAAAAACTTTTAAATATCAATCTGCACATGCGAGGGACATTGGTTATGCTCATTTTTGCTTGCTCCTTTTAAGTTATCTTGAGTAAAACCGCAAAAAAATTCATGAAGCACATACAAAAGACCTGAATCGGAAGCGATGTGATTGTTTTCCGGCTTGGTCACGTGACGCTTGGCATAAAGCCTATTGATTGATGATCATTCACCCAAGGAAATTAGTTGACTCCTCTGATCTGAAGCTCCATTCGTAACTCGTGTTTTTCCCCCCCCACCAGATATCATGTTGGTGTGTCTACATCCTGTCATCCTTCTTCTCCTCATCAACTTTCTCGACCTGTCATCATCTCAGAATCCCACTCGACCCCGTTCCCCCATCTCTGAAAAAATGTATGATTACAGTGATTACGAAGAATCTACCGCTGAGCCTCCCAGCTCGTCTACCTCCGAAGTCCCAGAACTCCATCCATGCTACTATGACATGTGTGTGGAGCAGCAGCAAACCTGCAAGGAGCTTGCAGCAGTCACACCATGCCTCTGCCCGGGGTTGAGCCCTCAAGACAATCCCCCGAGTCCACCGCACCTCTCGTATCTAACTCAACAGGATGACAAAGGGGTCGTGGTGCACTGGTGTGCTCCGACCTCCATTGTCACCCACTACATTGTCTTGGTGAAAGGCAAGGATAAAGTTGTCGATTGGGAGATAGAGGTGCAGGAGAGGATAAGGGCAACAGTATTGCATGATGTGGCAGCTGGTGCGCTCGTGTGTGTAAAAGCGGTGAATTTAGCCGGCGTCAGCACAGAGAACGGACAATCGTGTGCCACATTTGAACCCCAACATTCAGACTCTGGACTTGCGCTGAAGCTGGGCATTATTGGAGGTGTGGTGGGACTCATAGTTCTTCTGATTTTGGCTCTGCTGCTGTGGAGACACAAAACATTGCGGAAGTCTACTGCACGAAACGAGACAGGGGGAGTTCTGTAACAGAGAGAAAGGAGCGTGTATCTGTTTGTGTGTATGTGTGTGGCCCTAAATATGCACTTCATATTGGTATGAATGAAGGGAGTAAATGAATGACTGGACTGATAGCCCACTGTGAGCATGCTGGATAGAGGGAGTGTATTAATGACTCAATGAAAGAGGGGTGCAGAGAAGGTGGACGAATGACTCAGCACATTCTTCTCATTTGGTCGTCAGTGTCTGACAATGTGATTTTGGACAGACCCAAATTGTAGACCTCTACTGTGTTGACTCTAATCATGGGCACCTTTTCAAGACCATTCCCAAATCACCAACACACTTTTAAACTTGTGTATGTTTGTTTCTTCTTTCTCCATGTTTTTTTGTTTGTTTGTTTTTTGAATGCAGAATTACAATTTCTCATTTAAATTTAGGACTGGGTCAGATCAACAGCACATTTTAGGTTACTTTTTTAAGTGTACGTTTTTGCTAAAATAATCTGTGTAAATATTAATCTTACAAAATAATAAAATATTTTTTGTATTTTGAATTCTTTGGGGCAGTTTATTTCCTGGTTAAATCAAATATATGTTCCCTAGAAAATCATAGATAAATCAAAACACTGAACATATTCTTATATCATGTGTGTACCATATACAAAAATCAACACTGAAATCTAAACAGCTCAAATCATTATATTATTACATATAAATTAAAAGATTTTCTTTTTCAATAGCCTACCGATTTTGAGCCATAAATGGCATGTGACTTCTCACTCTAAAGCTGCAGGAAAATGACATCATGATGACAACACTGGTTGGCTGTTGACTGCATAAGTACACACACGCAGTCCCAAACCCTTTACCAGCAATCTTGAGCCTAGATTTCAGAGGCTGACAGGGTAAAATATGTACATAAGAGCCATCTAAAAAGATTCAGGCATTGGTAAAGCATCTAGTGTAATATAATGAAATATTATTAACATACATTCCTTGCAATTGTAAGGCCTCCCCAATCGGTCCAACGACAGTTTCCGATAAGCGGGTGAAAGTTTACTGGTTTACAAATGATCATTGGCCCAACTAGGGTTACTCAATCAACACAAACTCAGATAGATTTAATTTTTAGCAATAAGCCTGAAAGAATTACACAATCTTATAATTTGGTAACAGGTATGTCAGACCTCAACTTTACATTAATTGCAAGAAAGTTGACAAAAAAAACTATTTTTATATAAACAAGAAGGCAAACGCTTTTTTAATATTACACCAAAATCTCTAGTCGGTCAATTCGAGGAGAAATTAAAGCACCTGGACTGGAATTATGTTCTGCAGTTTGGTGATTTAGAAAAAGCATGTATTACTATGATGGATAGAGTTAATATGACTAAAAATGAATTTTGCAAAAATTTCTCTTACTCGAGTAAAGTAAATCTGCCATGGTTAAATAATAATAATAATTTATTGTCATTGCAATGATACAACGAAATTACATTAGGGCATCAGTCGACAGTGCAATTTCATGAGGTATAAGAGAGATTGCTAGAAGGCGCAGTAGTGACACCTATTTTTAAAGCAGGTGATAGGACCCTTCCATCAAATTATAGACCTATCCTTCCAATAACATAAAAAATAGCAGAAAGGGTAGTTTGTGATCAATTAGTTTCTCATTTAAATGAAAGTGAAGTGAATTTACACCCAGTGCAATTTGGGTTTCGAAAGAATTGTTCTACAGAAACGGCTAAATTTTTTTTTGTCTAACAAATTAGAAGTCAACTTGACAAAGGTGGTGTTGTTGGAGCTGTGTTTTTAGATCTTGCAAAGGCATTTGACACAGTGAATCATAACTGTTTAATTTCCAAACTTCAGAATTTTGATTTATCTGCTACTGCCTTGACGAAATGAAATCATACCTGACTAATAGGAAAAAAATGTACAAGAGTGGTTGATAAGTGCTCTTCTTTTGCTAGCTGTCCTATAGGGGTTCCTCAAGGGTCAATTTTGACCTATTTTATTTAGTATTTATATAAATGATCTCCCTCAAGCATGTCCAGGTGTTAATGTTATAATGTATGCAGATGATACTGTGCTTTTTACTCATGCAGTAACTAAAGAACTAGGTGCAAGCAAACTGTCATCTGCAATGGCGAAAGTCTCAAGATTGGTTAAACAAGTCTTGTTTGTCTCTTAATGTAAGCAAAACAGTTTGCATGTATTTCACTGTACGAAAACAGAACTCGTGAATCCAGACATCATATTTAATGGTGAAGCAATCAAATCTGTGACTCATGTTAAATATCTAGGGATAATAATAGACCAACACCTGTCTTTTAAAAAACAGGTAAGAAGGGTTATAAATAATGTTAAATTTAATTTAAATCATTTTAAAAACATCAGGCACCAGCTTTCTCAATAAGCTGCACTACTTTTTTGTACATACTTTGATTCTCCCTCACTTGTCGTATTGTATAACAACTTGGTCACAGGCAGGTGCAACTACATTTAAGCCTGTGTACTCCCTTCATAAACAAATTATGAAAGTGCTAGACAAAAAACCAAGGGACTATCATCATTGTACTATCTTGAAAAGGTTACATTTTTGGAATTAATTTTGTATTTTATACTGATGTATGCCTGATGTACAAAATTATTCATAATCTTGCTCTCCCTCCTCTTAAGGGATGCCTGGCCCATAATGGAAGTGCCGGTAGGACTAGAGCATCTGCTAGGGGAGATTTGGTACCGCAGTATAGAAAAACAGAGGTAGTAAGACTCACCCTATTTAGGTTGGTTGTGCAACATTTTGCTGTCCTAAACGAAAATTTCCCTTTTTGTCTTTACTAACCAGGTACACTTGAATTAGTGTCAAATATTAGCTGGAACTCTAAAATCACAGTTGGTGTGCCCTATGCTCCACTCTAAACTGGACTCTAGTCCGTCACTAATCTGACGCAGATTTGCGGAAACAATGGACACAGCGTAATCTACTGAATAACTTCAGAGTAAGGGTGTTTTCACACCTATAGCTAGATTGTTTGTTTTGTTCCGAAACAGGGACTTAATTTGTTACAATGTTGCATTTTCTTCTAGGTTCGGTTTGCTTTCACAAGGCAACCTTTCAAAGCGTACCAAAATGTGTTCACGCAAGTCCCATGCGAACTGTCCTCTTATTGGTCAGCGTTTCCTCTGCGTCATCCATCAGGATGATTGACATGTTTGCTCCATCAGCTTATTTTGGCTTTATTTGTAACTTTCGAGACTCACGCAAACACTACACGAATGCAGCCGTCATTGCCGCTGTTAAATTATATATTAGGCTACATTCGCATTAATATTAGCTTACAGCAAATTTAAACGAGCTCTCTCTGGATCTCTCAGTGATCAGTGTCAAGACACACGCAAACACGAATGTTATAATGAAGCTAGAACAGGAATCACTTTATTGCTCTTTAGGTTTTCAACTGTGATAACTAATGTGCTTACTCTCACAGAATCAGACACTACTGCTATTTACAGTATATAGTACATCTCCCGTTATGAATTATAATACCATTTGGTTCGTTGGTCCGTTGGGTCGAATTGCTTACACACCACAAGCGAACCTCCCCAGAGTTAGTTTGCAATCGGGCCGATACCACCTCGTTCAGGCGGTCTCGGAGCGATGGTTTTGGTGCGGATCCGAGCATGATTGCTGTGTTCACATATGCCTAAACGAACCGAACCAAGAGAGAAAACGCACCAGGTTCCGAAGTACTCAGACCGAGCCAGAAACTTCTTTCACATGGAAACATGAGCCAACAATGGGAATTTGCATTCAGAGTTTTCACCTTTTGAGGGCAGGATGCCATTTGCCTGGAAGACACACCCTCCCCTGTAAGCAAGATATCTCTAAACTCTTAAAAACTTTATTACCTTTTGGTTTACTTCTTTGGGGATGAGACCTTTGTACCAGTCACACTGAGATATTTCAAATGATACCAAACATGTATAGCGCAGTATGATAATTGTTCTCATTGAACCATATCGATTTTTGGGTGAATTTCAGGTGATCTCAGCATGAGAGAGAGATGAGATGGGAAGGGAAAGAAAAGAAAAGAAAATTAATACAATGGTCACGGTTCGCAGGTTTGCCTGTTCATGTCTGTGTGTACTGTTTTGGTCTGATTGGCTATCTGCGTCAGCTGTGCTGACTAGCAATCAGATCAGCCGCAGGTGCGGCTCGTTTATGTGTCCTATATGTAGGCTTGTGTTTGTCATGTTCATTGTCAGATCGTTGCTTGTTTGTTGCTCAAGCCTTGTCTTGCTGTCTGTTCAGTGACTCTCTATCCAGTTCCAGTATCTCCGGATTATTCTGTCTCCAGTTCCTGAGTTTGGGATTATTTGCCCGGGTTTGGCCTTACATAGGGTAGTGCCACCACCCGGGTGCCCACCGGGTTGTTTATTCGTGCCAGAGAGATTTCGGTCCAACGTTATTTGGTGGGGTCATTGTTCCAAGGTGGCTTGTCATCCGAGAGTCAATCGTACATTTTTCTTATTAAGCAACGGTTCTAGTGGCAAACTATGGCTCGCGACACATGTCGATTTGTATTGGCCTGCTCGGTCTGTGCCAGTTGTAAGACTTCTACTCGACCTCCTGCTGGGCTCCTTCAACCGTTGTCAGTTCCTTCGAGACCCTGGTCACACATTGCGCTAGATTTTGTTACGGGCCTCCCTTCCTCACAGGGTAACATGGTGGTTTTAACCTTGGTGGACAGGTTCTCGAAGGCTACTCATTTCATCCCTCCTCCCAAATTACCTTCTGCCAGAGAGACAGCGGTTGCTGTCATAGACCACGTCTTTCGTATTCATGGCCTCCCAACTGACGTGGTCTCTGACAGGGGTCCCCAGTTTATATCCAGATTTTGGAGAGAGATTTGTCAGTTGCTGGGGGCGAGTGTCAGTCTTTCCTCCGGGTTCCGTCCCCAAAGCAACGGTCAGACGGAGAGGGCCAACCAAGATTTGGAACGGGGGTTGCGATGTTTGGCGTCACAGAATCCGTCCTCTTGGAGTCAGCATATCTCATGGGTTGAGGACACTCATAACTCATTACCAGTGTCGTCCACGGGTCTGTCTCCATTTGAGTGTAGTTTAGGGTACCAGCCCCCAATTTTTCCTAGTCTGGAATCCGAAGTCGCGTTTCCCTCTGCTCACGAATTTGTCTAGAGGTGCAGACGCATCTAGAGAAGATCCAGGGAGACTCTCCTCCGGGTGGGTTTGCGCACCAAGGCCCAGGCCGATCGTCACCGGTCGAGCCCTCCCGTCTTAGTCGTTGGTCAAAAAGTGTGGCTTTCATCTACTGATATTCCTCTCCGCTCCGTCTGTAGAAAACTTGCTCCAAATTCATTGCCCTGTTTACCGTCACCAAGATCCTTAGCCTGGTGACGGTACGCCTCAAACATCCTCCGGCGTACCGGAGAATTCATCCTGTCTTACATGTTTCAAAGATTAAACCCCTTATTCGTTCTGCTATTAATCCGCCTACCCCGGTTCCCCCACCACCGCGAATTGTAGA